GGCAGGTTTATTCTTATTTAAAGGAGCAGTATTTTGAAATTTGGGTTTTCTCTATTTAAAGTGCTTGTAATTTTAGAATAATCTTTGTTGTCCTCATTATTTGTTGCAGCTGTGCTAGGGGCAAAAGCCAGGGCCTCTTATGTGCTCTACAGGTGCTCCTCCTCGGTCTTTCCCAGCCCAGTCCCCTCCCCTCCCCCCCAAGCCCAAGGCCTCCAGCAATCCCCTACCTTCCAAGGAGCTAGGATTAAAGTGTGAGCCATGGTTCCTGCAGCACTTCACTTTTCTAAACAGCATGTCTTTCTCTCGTGTATGATTTAAATGGGTGAAATTCATGGCAGAAAGGGGCAGGTGTAACTTGGACAGCAGTGAGCCTGCCAGCACAGTTACCAACAACAACGAAACAAAACCGTTTCCATTTCTTGGAGTTCATTTAGATAAAAAGTATTACATGTTCAGAGAAGTTACACCTTTAGGGTCCTCCCTTAAGGATATCTTCCCTTTTTTGGGGAGGAGGGGAAGGTCCAATCATGGGGCCTGAACTCTGGGCCTGGGCACTGTCCCTCAGCTCTTCAGCTCAAGGCTAGCACTCTACCACTTGAGCCACAGCGCCACTTCCGGCTTTTTCTGCTTATGTGGTGCTGAGGAATGGAACCCAGGGCCTCATGCATGCAAGGCAAGCACTCTACCACTGAGCCACCTTCCCAGCCCCAGGATATTTTCCCTTAATCTTCATTTGTGTGTGAATACATTTTATACTATTTAATAGAAATATGTGTCCATGTGTTTCCGTTTCCTCTGCAGTAGCAATCCTTCCATGTGGAAGGAAGTCTACCTTGCTTTCAGAACTGCTGCCCGTACCATGATGTGGGTTTATTTAATCATTTCCTATTGGTAGATGTAGCTTGTCTCGGGGTGTATCAAGCATGACAGTGCTGCCAGTTACTATCCTTGGCAGCATTCTAAACAGGTTAAAGGTTTGCTCTGTTTTGCCAAACTTTTTTACAAAACTGCACCACTCTGTATTTCCACTAACCTGTAGTTACTCATTTCCCCACACTTCTGTCCCTAGGCTCAGCATCTTTTTTTTTTGGGGTGGGGGTGGGGTGGGGGGTCTGAACCCAGGGCCTCATGCATGCAAGGCAAGTGCTCTACCACTGAGCCACCTTCCCAGCCTGGTTCAGCATCTTTTGAATTTTGTTATACTTCCCTAGGCAGAAAAGAGTTCTTTGGTTTTCATAATCTTAAACTCTATGCCTGTGGTTGTTTTTAGAGCTTCTGAAATAGCTAAGTAGAGACAGCAGCATATTCCTGCAGCAGGATATTAGAAAACACTAGCACTGCTTAATAAGTTTGAAAGACAAAAGGACTGTCTCGTGGCCCGCTGCTGCCCTCTAATGGTTACGGTTGACATTTTCTTGTTCTCTTCAATGTTTTCTTTTTTGCTAAGTGGTGTATGTGTGCGCGTGTGTGCATGAACACACACCAGTCCTGTTGCTTGATCTCAGGGCTTGGGTGCTGTATCTGAGCTTTTTTGCTCTACCACTTGAGCTACAACTCTAGTTTTTTTTTTTGGCCGGGGGGGGGGAGGTGGTTGATTAAGAGTCTCACGGATTCTCCTGCCCAGGCTGGCTTCAAACTGTGATCCTCAGATCTCAGCCTTCTGAGTAACTAGGATTGTAGGTATGAGCTTGTAGTACACGGCTTTTTATTTGGTTTTTCAGATAAGGTCTCTCATTAACTGCCAGAGCTGGCAAATTGACCCTCTACCTCTTCCTCTCAAGTAGCTGGGACTATAGGTATAAACCACCACATCTGCCATGTTTTTGAGGTAGGGTCTTGCTAGCTTTTGCACAGACTGGCAGGTTCTACTTTTAAAGACCACATGAGACCAGGGACGCAGCTCAGTAGTAGAGCACTTGGAAGCTCTGGGGTCCATCTGGAGTACTGCAAACAAACAATACAGTATAGACAGGAAAATAAGAAAACTGACTTCAGTAACAAGAGCTTGAAAAGGAGCAAACTAGCACTAAATTTAAAAACTAAGCAGCTGTCACACCTGTAAGCCTGAATTCTTGGAGGCTGAGATTGGAAAGATTGGATGCAAGGCCCCATTACTCCTTTATATATACAGCCTGGAGGTTGTTTTGTGCAGTGTATTTGCAGTGAGCCTGGTTTTATTGGCAGGCTGTGACGTCACATGAGATGAGGAATGGAATTGTCTGGACGAGCAGGGTTTGTGGCTGGGTAGTCAGGGTGAGCCTCATGGCGAGTACTTCAGCTTTACTGCATGGATGATTTCCTTTCTTCCTCGATTCCTTCCTTCTGGTTTTTAAAGCACTGGAGAGGGGGCTGTTGAAAACACTGCAGAAACTGGATGAATATCTGAATTCCCCCCTCCCTGATGAGATCGACGAGAACAGCATGGAGGATATCAAGTTTTCCACACGGAAATTTCTGGATGGTAATGAAATGACACTGGCTGATTGCAACCTGCTGCCCAAGCTGCACATCGTCAAGGTAGGGCTGTGGCTGAGCCCGTGCCGGGGGCAGAGTGGGGGGACCGAACCAGTGGGAGTCTGTGTCCTTAGTGTTGGCTCAGCTGATGACCCGGAGGGCAGGGCTCCGTGGGTAGTGAGATCTTCAGATCCAGGACACGAAGAAGGAGCATTGCTCACCTTCCTTCCAGAACCCAATAGAGACAGGAAGGTAGGAAGGGTAGCAGAGCTTTGAGCTCACTCACAGCTGACATTTCTGTGCAAGGTCAGAGTTTGGAGCTCAGTCTAATAGTATTTACGGAGGTAAGACAGGAAATCCACAGGTGTGAAGGACTGTGTTTTACAAGCGTGTGTCCAGTGCTTACGCATGGCCTGGGCAGGAAAAGTCCGTGAGGCTCTTATCACAATTAACCACCAAAAAAGTGCAAGTAGTAAGTGCTGTGGCACACATGGTAGAGTATTGGCCTTGAGCAAAAAAAGCTCAGGGAGAGTGCCCAGGCCCTGAGTTCAAGCCCCTGCACCAGCACACATAAAAGATTATTTCTGTGTCTCTCTGAGAGCTGCTCGAGCTTCAGAAGAGGCAGGCGGCTCCATCCTGCCCCTGGGCTCGCGCAGCACAGGAGGCACGCTTTCCTGGTGCAGGAGGTGGCGGGACCTGCCATGACTTTGAACTGTGATCCTCACATCTCAGCTCCTGAGAAGCTGGGGTCACAGGGTGAGCCAAGTAATCATTTGCTGTAAAGTTAGGCTTAGGTCTAGGTTATGAGGCATGGAAAATGAAGGTTAACTTGGTTCTCTTGGAATTTCAGGTGGTGGCTAAAAAGTACCGCAACTTCGACATCCCCAAAAGCATGACAGGCATCTGGAGGTACCTGACCAACGCCTCCAGCAGAGACGAGTTCACCAACACCTGCCCGAGCGACAAGGAGGTAGAGATCGCCTACAGCGATGTCGCCAAAAGACTGAGCAAGTAAAGCTGCGCTCGAGAGACGGCTCCAGACCCCTCCTAAGCGCCTGCTTTCCTCACGGACTGTTCTTCCGTCTGCAGTAGAGATGCGTTTTGCATGAACACGCAGTTACTCATGATTAGAATCAGGATAGACAAGGTGCAGTAGTTGAAAACACACTCCTAAGCAGTATTATTGTCCAGTCCCACCACCCCTGCCCACAGCCTCCGTCCTCTGATCTGGAGACACTCCATCTGAAGCTTGTCTGTTCACAGAGTGCAATGTGTTACTTAAATAGAAGCCATGATGTCAGTCTCCTCTCCCCCCCCCCCCCCCCCCCCGCCCTCCAGCCCTGATGGTTCTGGAATTTCCTTAGAGCTTGAGAGAGAGGATGGCTGCACAGGCCTTAGTGGAAAGAGCTGGTGCCCAAGCCACGCGGGCTCTGCCTGTGCGGAGCCTCTCACCGCCCATGCTGCCCCCGCCCCGTGACGGGGGCTGTGTGCCGAGAGGGGTGGCGGCACTGCCATGGTCAGGAAATCGCAGCCACCTTGGTGTTGAAAGCTGCTTTTCAGGCCTCGTGGGCGCACATGCCGGACAGCCATTGCCTGAGCTCCAGCTGGAAGTGGTGAGGTGCGCAGAGATGAACTTCAGGTGAAGTGGAGGGGGTGTGGCGAAGCATATTTCCGTAGCTAACTTAAATCAAGCCTGTCCTCCCTCCCTCCCTCCCTCCCTTCCAGTGGTAGTTGCTTTGCCCAGTCTCCTCCAGCGTCGGCCAGCCCGTGGGGGAGAGGCATTTCTTGTTGAGTTGAGATCTAGTCCAGAGATGCATGTCGCATGAAGTGGAGCTTGGTGAGGCTCACTGTGTTCTTCCCAAAATGAACTAAGTTCCGCTCTAAGGACTGGGCGTGACTGCACGTGGTCGCGTGACGATGAGTGCATCTCACAGAGCGTTGTCTTGAGGTATAGCTCTAGGATGGCGGCGCCCCCCTGTGCTGCATGGGCATCGGCGCCTGGCTTTGTGGTCGCGCTGCCTTTCTACCCTGGCAGCGAGGAGTGTGGAACAGCCACATGAGCAAACTCCAGCTTGTGTCCCTTTGGCCTGGTCATGGCGAACGGCCTTAAAGTGTGAGGAGGGGCCGGAGAGGGGCTATGAACGAACGGGACCCAGTGGGCTGGGCGCCTCTGGAGAGGAAGCTATGCTCCTCACAATGGCCAAATTCCCTGCACAGCATTTCCACTTAGGTATTTCCCCTCCTCCTGGCGTCTCCTTTACCGGTGACCCACTCGTGCTGGGGAGGCGGTGTGGGCACTGCCACAGGCTGGCATTTCCCTGTGGGAGGAGGTGTGCTGCGCACGGCTGGCTGTGTGGAGGAAGGAAGGCCCTGCAGCTCGCAGCATGCGCGCGTGTGTATGTGCGTGCGCGCACACGTGCGTGTGTGCACGTGGGGGCGGGGCCAGGAGGTTGCCGTCCACGGAGGGAAAGCTCGCCAGCTCCTCTGCCCTCCGGGAGCACAGCACAGTCAGAGTCCAAGTCTCATTTCCTGAGGGTACTGAGGTTTCTTTAATTAAGCATTTGGAAAGTCCTTTACTGTTCCAGTTGATATTCCCCCCCTTTTATTTTGGTATAGATTCAGACTTTCAATAAAATGCAAATAAGGTTTATTTCTTGCAAAAGTCAGCTGTTCCAACTTAAAACCACTAGCAGTCTGTGTCCATGCAAAGATAGATTCCTGACCAGTGTGTACTGCACTCAGTGGACCATTCTAGAACTTAGGAGTGGTGCGTCTGGTGACCTTCGAGCTTCTCCAGAGTTGCATGTAGATAGCTTTTATTTCTGTGCATTTAAATATCCCATTTAGAAAATACCTACAAAGTAAAGATGAGAGGAAATAGAAATTATTTTTTCACAAACATTTTGATACACATTTCATCAAGCTAATTGATGTCACCAATTTCTTAACACAGGCTATAATCAATAATTAATTCAAAGAGAGGGAGATAATTTTAAACTTTCAAAATCCCATTCTTTGCAAATTATCGAGATTGGAACAACCAAGATTATATTTTAAGCAAGGGGAAAAAAATCTCCCCAAGCCATAATACTGAAAAGAATTGGACTTTTTTTTTTTTTAATTACTTGGCTAGGCAGATGCAAGCTTTATAGAATGCTTGTATTTTCTTTCCTCTCTCTGGAACATCAACACCAGTATATTGCTGGCAGCTATTGTATTAAAAATAAATATATTTTCACTATCATAAAGGATTCTTTTTTTTCTTCATAAAAACAAATAAAAACTTGATGTAAAAGTGTTTGAGACTACTGCTTTTTCTTCTGAGTTTCTGATTCAGAACATCTAACAACAAAAGTACTGTGTGCTGGTGAGTTATTCCTATATCCAAGCTACTCAGGAGGTTGAGATGTTCAAATCCAACCTGAGCAGGAAAGTCTGTGAGACTCTTGTTTCCAGTTAGCTACCAAAAAAGCTGGAAGTGGATCTGTGACTTGAGTGGTAGAATGCTGACTTTGATCAAAAGCTCAGGGGAGGCTAGGAATGTGGCTTAGTGGTAGAGTGCTTGCCTAGCATGCATGAAGCCCTGGGATGGATTGCTCAGTACCACATTGCTCAGTACACAGGGGAAGGAGGTGGGGGGACGCTGGAAGTGGAGCTGTGGCTCAAGCGATAGAGTGCCAGCCTTGAGCAAAAGAAGCTCAGGGACAGTGCCCAGGACTGGCTAAAAAACAAAAAAAAGCAATAGCTCTGAACAAATTATTTCCCCAAAGAAGATAGAAATTCTCAGCCAATACTATGAGTCTATTTTCCATTGCTATAACAAAATGCTCAGCTGGGGATTTTCTAAAGAGAGATACAGCATGCAGTTTTGGAGGTTCAAATGCAAAGTATCTTGGTTGGTCTGGCTCTGGAGGAGCCCCCAGGGACACCATCTTGCAGGAAGACCGAAAAGCCAGAAAGTGCGCAGGGCCCAGCTTGTGTCCAGCCATGAAGTCCAGACAAGACGAGGACCTGAGGCTTGCAGGGCGCCCCCCCCCCAAGACCCCCATGGCCGGCCCTCTGCAGGAAAACTACGCAGGTATGAAGGGGACTGCCTGCCTGCCTTCCCGAGGGCAGCGCCTGAGGAACCCTAATTCCTTGTTCAAGACCCCACACTTTGAAGTCCCCTATCTCAGTATTGCTATGCTGAAGACCCAACTTCCCACTTGCGAGTCCTCGGGACACAGGTGAACCATACCCAGACCAGAGCACGGGCAGACAGATGAACATCGTTAAGCCACAGACCAGAGCACGAGCAGACCGATGAACATCATTAAACCCCAGACCAGAGCACAGGCAGACAAATGAACATCATTAGACCCCAGTGAGCCTCCCAGGATGGCGGTTGTGGTGGATGGCGGGGTTCGTAAGGGGGTAGGTTAGGGGGGAGGGGAGTTCACCTGCCATGTGAAGGGGAAAGCCCTGCCTTGGAAAGTGAGACACCATCACAAGTGGCAAAGACTCGGCCTGCACTCACACACACACAGAATCCACACACATCCTCACCCCTCACCTCACGTTCCCAGCACCGGTGATCATGGGACCCAGAATACTGACAACCCAAGCGCCTGTCTTGGCAATGTGTCAGCAAGTGGTGTGTCAGTGGACACGTGTGCGTGTGTGTATTTATATGCCATGTGTATGTGTGCATACATGCATGGCATGTGTTGTGTTAGAATGTTCTTAAGCTAGATTATGGTGACATGGCTATGCTAAAAACCACCCGGTTGTACACTTCAGTGTACAATTGAAATATAAAGAGTGAACAAAGGACTTACGTCAGTAAGTATGTTTAACTAAGTGCAGACAGGCTGATTGGTTAGTTACTCATCCTAGAACTTAGGCTGAGACTGTGGCAGGAGGATAGAGAATTTAGAGTGAACACAATAGGGAGACCCTGTTTTTTTTGTGGGGGAGAGAGCGAGCCTAAATAAAAATTCCATAAGGCAGGGCTGGGAAGGTGGCTCAGTGGTAGAGTGCTTGCCTTGCATGCCTGAGGCCCTGAGTTCGATTCCTTAGCACCACATAAGCAAAAAAAAAAGCTGGAAGTGGCGCTGTGGCTCAAGTGGTAGAGCGCTAGCCTTGAGCTGAAGAGCTGAGGGACAGCGCCCAGGCCCAGAGTTCAGGCCCCATGACCGGACCCCCCAAAAAAAATTCCATAAGGCTTGGGCATGATTGTAACCTAGCAATTCAGGAGACAGATCTGAAAGCTTCAAAGCTAGCCTGGACAGGAAAGTCTGTGAGACTCCAATTAACTACTAGAAAGCCAGAAATGGTTCAGTAGCTCAGGAACAGTGCCCAGACCCAACCCTGAGCTCAAGCCCCAGGACTGGCACAAAAAAAAAAATTCAGCTATCTAAAATAAATTGTTAAAAAGGAAAAACAAATGTGTTCTGATGAAGCTTAAATCTGAAGTTACAAAGTTAGCTTTTCACTCAAAATGTGTGAGCTCTATAGTTTGTAATACCTCTGTAGTCAAACATGAAAGAAAACTCTGTGTGTGTGTGTGTGTGTGTGTGTGTGTGTGTGTGTGTGTGTGTGTTTGTACAGGGACTTGAACTCAGGACTTGGGTGCTGTCCCTAGGTGTTTTCACTCAAAGTAGATGCTCTACCACTTGAGCTACAGCTCCACTTCTGGCTTTGTGCAGGAGATAAGAGTTTCAGACTTTCTTTCCTGGGCTGGCTTTGCTCAGATCTCAGCCACCTGAATAGCAAGAATTATAGAGGCACTGACACCTAGCTTAAAAACAAACCTGAGATTCAAATTTTATTGGATGGATTTAACAGCAGAAAACAGGCTGGAAACAGTGATCTAAACTAAGCAAAAAGATTTTTTTAAAAAAAGGTAAAACAAGACCATTAAGCAAGCAAGAGCCACACTGGAGAGCCTGAGTGCTGTGTGTGAGAGGCTGAGTGCTGTGTGAGAGTGCTATGTCAGAGAGACTGGGTGCTGTGTATGAGCCTGAGTGCTATGTCTGAGAGCCTGAGTGCTGTGTGTGAGCCTGAGTGCTATGTCAGAGAGACTGGGTGCTGTGTGAGAGCCAGAGTACTGTATGTGAGAGCCTGAGTGCTGTGTGAGAGCCTGAGTGCTGTGTCAGAGTCTGAGTGCTGTGTCAGAGCCTGAGTACTGTGTGTGAGAGCCTGAGTGCTGTGTGAGAGTCTGAGTGCTGTGTGTGAGAGCCTGAGTACTGTGTGAGAGGCTGAGTGCTGTGTCAGAGTCTGAGTACTGTGGGAGAGGCTGAGTACTGTGTGTGAGAGGCTGAGTGCTGTGTGAGAGTCTGAGTGCTGTGTGTGAGCCTGAGTCCTGTGTGAGAGTCAGTGCTGTGTGTGAGAGCCTGAGTACTGTGTGAGAGTCTGAGTGCTGTGTGTGAGAGCCTGAGTGCTGTGTGTGAGAGCCTGAGTACTGTGTGAGAGTCTGAGTACTGTGTGTGAGAGTCTGAGTACTGTGTGTGAGAGCCTGAGTACTGTGTGTGAGAGGCTGAGTGCTGTGTCAGAGTCTGAGTGCTGTGTGAGAGTCTGAGTACTGTGTGTGAGCCACACAAGAATGCCCAGGAGTTTTCCCAGGCAGGTAGAACTCAGCAAACGCCACCTGGAATAAAAGCAAACCAAGCACATCTAAGAGGAAACTAGAGACAGCCACATCACCTTTGAAGTAGGTGGAATGAAACCAGTGGCCGGCTTTTCATCCACAAGGGGCCTTTGGAAGTGGAAGACGGAATCTTTAAAGTGCTGGGGGATGGGGGTGGAGTTCTGCCAACCCCAAATTCCATCCTCCATGAAAATGGTAACAAGGCAAAATAAGGAGAAAACAAAACCACACGCCCCAAACCACACATTCAAACTCCGCCTCATTTCATCTAATTGCCTGGAGGGAAGGGGCGTTCTTTTCAAGTGTGCTGGGTTTCTAGCACAGCCAACCCCACGCTGACCCCATAACGCAAGCTCAGCAAATGCTGGAGGCATGAAACCACACTGCGCTCCCAAGCAGAGGAATAAAAGAAGCCAAGAATTGAAAGATAGCAGGGAAATCCCCAGCATAAAGAGCCACTTAGAGCAAATGCAACTGACAAGCCTACAGCTTACGCTGGGATTTAAATGTTTCAGAACTATTCTGGCCTGGCTCTGGTGGCTCACGCCTGTAATCCTAGCTGCTCAGGAGGCTGAGATCTGAGGATCATGGTTGGAAGCCAGCCTGGGCAGGAAAGTCCCCATGAGAATCCTATCTAGTTAACTACCAAGAAGCCGGAAGTGGAGGAGTGGATCAGGTGATAGAGATAGAAAAAGCCAAGCAAGATTGTGAGGCTCTGAGTTCAAGCCTCAGACCTGACACCAAACACAACAAAACACCAAAAACTATTCTGCGCACCTTACATACATTACTCAGTCTCTAACAATCCTATGCCATAGCAAATGTTATTTCTATTTATGACAAGGAAAAATTGAGGCCCTAAAAGGTTTAGAAACTTAAGATGACTCAAGTAACAGAGGGGGTACTGTAATATGTATGTGACATATAAATGCATTGCCTATATTATATGTGTTGATAGATCACAAATAGATTTTA